CATTGCTGGGAGATGTGTTTTCTCTGCGCTCCCGTCAGCAGCATCGCTGTGCCGGGCTGTGTGTGAGCCCTGCTGCCCTCTGGGCAGCTGCACGCTTGGATGGCATCTCTCTAAATGTTTGCACTGGCCCAAGCTCTTTATTTCAGATGACTTGACTGGAATGAAAAAAAGCAGTGGCAAGTGGAGGATGGGCAGATACAAACATGCAGCATGGCATTCAGAAGGGATCCAGGCCAAGTGCTGGGTGTAGGTGAGAGGCTACAGGGAGGGTCAGAGACTGTGCTTCCTTCTTCTGACACACTGGGTCAGCAAAGGAGTTCATAATGAAGCTTCAAAACAGAACCCTTCCCACCACAAACAAAAATACACCAAACCTAAGACAAGTTGAGTGAGAGGATGGATAAACAGGGTTGAACTTTTTCAGTCTCTGTTCGTAGTACCCATTATGCCTAAGACCAGACATTGGAGCGGAGGGAGGAGGCGTGGCACTGCTCTCTCAAAGTGTACAGAGCTGGAGTGAAGCAGAGAATTGGTCGTATTCACTGGATGGAATGGGGGGATTAAGGTATAAATTTAGTAGCGAGCGACGCCTGGCTTCAGTACCGGGAAGAGATTGTGAGCGTGGGTGTCAGCAGGAACTGAAATACAGCGCCAAGGGAGGTTGTGGATTCCAGAGGATTTAGGAATATGTTCCTCCAACGCAACTGCCTTGACAAGGCCTCCTTCTTGGGGTCTCTCAGCATTAAACAGCAGCTGGTGTTGAGGACAGCTGCCCAGTCACCCAGCACAGGGACTGCTGAGCTGTCCCATGCTATTTGTGACCTAGAGCTTTTCACTGCACAGGTTCCCACTGACATGTCTGTCTGGCACCTGGGAACAGGGATACAACAAAGTCACTTCTGCTCTGGCTTAGTGAGTTCATGTAATGACTTTGGGGAGCTTCTGACCTATGTGTATCAAAGGTCATTCTGAAATTATAATCATTCCACATTGTACAGTGTGGAGGGCACCTCTCTTCTCAGACCCAGCATGTAAATACAGAAACACATAGAGCCAGTTTTTATATGTCAAAATGCCAGCCAGCCCTGTGTTTTACGAGCTGTTTACACTCACAGTGCTGCCTGCTGTGCTGTGATAGGCACCATGTGCCCCCTTGCTGCAGCCTTGCTCTGTATGCCTTACCAAGCCAAACTCACTCTTGTTGCCACCCTGCCTCTCTGGCTGTCACTACACACAGATCCTAATTTAAGGTTGGAATGCCCGTCCCTTTCAGCAACCCCACCCAGAGCTCTTTCCCTGGGTAGCCATGAGCTGTTCTGGGGCTGGGCAGTGGTTGCTCAATCCAGG